GTCTATGTGGGTGGGTTTTCTGTAGACCTTGTGTCCCAATAGGAGGTCAGTTTTGCGTATGACCATGACATCTAAGAAAGGGAGTTGTCCCTCTATTTCTTTGTCCATGGTGAATTGTATATTTGGGTGGATGTTGTTGAGATGGTTTAGAAATTCTTACAGTTTTTCTTCACCGTGGTTTCAAATTGCGAAGGTGTCATCCATGTATCGGAACCAGACTGTGGGTGTGAAGGATGCTGAAGCCAGGGCCTGTTTTTCAAAATGTTCTCATGTAGAAGTTTGCTATAACTGGGCTTAGGGAGCTCCCCATGGCCACTCCGTCTGTTCGTAGAACTCGTTATCCCACTGAAAGTAGCTGGTCGTTAGGCAGTGTTTGAAAACGGCCTTGATGTCTTCTGGAAAGATCCACTGGAGGAGTGTCAGAGTGTCCTTTATCAGTACCTTGGTGAATAGGGATACTACGTCAAAGATAATCAGTCTGTCCCCGGGTTTGAGTTTTAGGGTGCTGATCTTGCTTATGAAATGTCCTGAGTCTTTGATGTAGGATGAGGTTTGTCCAATGTGGGTCTGTAGGAGGGTGGCTAGGTGTTTTGCTATTTCATATGTCGAGGAGCCAATGGCATTTACAATGGGCCTGAGTGGGATTCAACAAAAAAGAGGAAAGTCTGAAACTGAACAAGGCCTGGCTTCCACCATTGGAAAATACAGCCTGCAGAAGGTCAACGAACTCTACCCAGCCACAAGGACCAGGGATCATTGCACAAAAGAGACCTGCTAAAGACACCCATCAACCACAGTGACAGCTAATCCTTCCCACTTATCACAACAATACATTCACAACAAAAACATGCTGATCATCCTATCTCCTGAAAAGGACAAAAGCGTTTCCACAGCTATAAATACTCAACTATCCAACAAACAGCAACAGAGCATGGACTGAGTTCCTACCTCAGTCCGCTGAAGATGCCGGCCACAGAGACTGGCAAAACGTCAGGAAGAACAACTTTCAGAACACAACCAAAGAGCCAGAAAAACCCACAACAACCATCAGATCCCAGCCGTGAAAGCCTTCGAGAATACATCGTAGCATATATTGTACATGTTATTGTCACAGTAAATTTAGGTAGAGTTGTAGCAACTGGCCCAAGTTTAGCCGTGAGCTTCATGGGTGAATGAGGAATTAGAACCTACGTTTTAATAGTCCAGGCCCATCATATGCTTCACTGAGCCACACTGATTCTTGGCAATGCATAGCTTAGAAATAAAGGCTTATTGAAAAAAATAGGCCACATGTGTAGTATTATAGCCTAAGATCTGAACAGCTTGATAACCAAAGCAAGAGCTAATCATGGAAGTATCCTTCTACCAACTAGATATATAGTGGAAAGAGAATAATGCAGGCAGAGGCCAAAGTTAGTGAGTGACTGTTGCCCATAACTGTCCCCTTGGAGATACATTTCTCTAATCCTTCCCATTTGGAGGGCTATTTTAGCTGCATTTTTTCCCAAAATCTTGCCTGATATGGAAATAATAAGTTGCAGAAGTGAAACAAGAAATCCATGTCTGGATTCTGTAATTACAGTTTATTGTAGCATTTGTACTTTTACTATATAAACCAGTAAAATTAGTAGGCTTATACAAAATTCTGTATTGCAAATCCAACATACATTGTAAGCAAACATACTGTTGGATTATTAGAGCAGTAATATCAGAGCTAAATCTAAAGTAGAACTTTAGAGTAAAAACTGACTGAAAAATCCCCATAGCTATAGACACCTCTTACTACATATTATTTTAAAAGTCATACACTTCCTTTCCACTCAAGAATAATTTATGGCTTTGGTTTATAAACCAATTAATAACTTCTAAATGTCAGGTGCTGCTTAATGAATGTACCTATACTGGTTAATCAGTCAAACTTTACACATCTACAAGACCTTCTGGTCCATGTATTTTGAATAGCTCCTAATATTAATTATTAAGCCCTTTAGATTTATCTTTTTTATGTTTAGCATATGTATTCTGATTATTTTGAGTTGCTCATTCAGTTAAAGTGCTATAAAATATGCAATGCACAATTACTTATTATCCAACACAACAAGATTTAGAGTAATGTTGGATATACGCTGTTACTCAGGTTGCGGTTTGGTGGTTTTTATGTACTTGCAAGGCTCTGATTATTCGACTTGTTGTTATGTGCCATGAAATTGCTTTTGACTTAACAAGGATCCTGACAAGTTTTTTGAGGCATGTGAGATGTTCAAGTAGTCGACCATGCCCACCACCACCACCAGGCAATCTCCAATGCTCTACAAACTACATGACACTAGCATATCTGATGTATGTAGCATCTTTCTCCCAAAACTTGAACTTGAGGCACCTCAAGATTAACAAGATCAAAAACAGATACAGATATGTTTTTTAAAAAAGGATGTTATAGAGTTATAAAGCTATAAACATAATAAACAGATTCTGATATTAAAGCATGGTGGAAATTTTTTAAAAATGATTTTTTTAAAGTATCGTACGAATCCTTTTTGTTAGCAGCGACTCAGTTGCTAAATAGAACAGAAAAGCCATGCCTGCTTCCAGGACAATAGGGTGGGGACTAGCTTGGCCTCCCTGGATTCCTTTTTAGCATGATAGTAATGAAGTAGATTAAAATAATATAAACATAAATGTATAAAAGGTTTTCAGAGTCTGGTAGCAGTCACCACAAAGGACTTGTAATCTGTGTTCCTATAAAAAGGGGAGAGGAAAGAAAAATCTGTCGTTGTTCACATGCCTCAGGTGATGTTAGCATTGCTTAAACTGAAACCAGAGAAGATGGAATTGAATATAATATCTACATGCTACTTTGTATTTCAGTTGATGTGTATGCTTTTGTTTCTTAGATAAGAAACATTAGCACCATTGGCACAGGACCTTTCATAATACTGAACTTTAGCTGTGGCATTCAAAGCCATGCCCATTATGACAGCTCCTCCTCCTCCTCTCCTTCCCAGTTAAGTGTAGATGTAGGTCCTTTGCTGCAGAAGTGAATCCTGTGTTTATATTTTTGCTTCCTTATTTACCTTTTGTACTCTTCCACAAATAGTGTCATTTAATAGTGTTATTTATTTCTGGAAGAGCCGTGGGCTCATTTTTCACTTCTGAAACACAGTTCTCATGTATTCCTCTATGCTTCTTCTTTTCCTTTCCTTCATTCTGATCAGCAATTTTCTAATTTTGACTCTTTTCATTCAACTCTTTTCGTGTCTTTTATGCTTTCTTCCATAGCTTCCATAGTTTCCTCCTAATGCCAAATACAGTCCACGCTCTTGCATGCCAGGAAAATAAGTTCCTTATCCCCCTAACATTATTTTTACATCTGCTAGGGCTAGGGTAGTGTTTAGATCAGTTTAGATATTTACAAAAAGCATGTCTTAGATTAAGAAGTCAGCGTTTCTGCTGGATACAGACATGGGCTTGAACATGGGAAAGATTCAACCCATCTCTCTGTAGACCTCAGTTCCTTATCTATTAAATGATCAAAATCATGCTTTAGAAATGAATATTCTGTAAAAGATTAAATAGTGGAGGAGAAGTATGTACATCCATATTTGATAAATACTGGATTTAAACAAGTGTTTAATTACATTTTTCAAATATTTTGTCCTTGAATGTCAGTGGTTCTGTTTGTAGGAGATTCATATAAAAGTATGGAGCTCTGGTTTCTGTATTTGATTAAATCATTTTAAAAGGTACAGTTAAACAAAGGCACGGCTATACAGTATCTTGAAGCATAGTCCTTTATTCATTTGCTTTACAGGTGGAATATGAAAAAAAGGGAATTCTATGTTCATCTTCTTTACTGTTAAAAATAATAGTAGTCTGCCAGCACAAACCTATGCATATTGACTCAAATTAAATTCTACTGGGTTCACTATGACTTATTTTCAAGTAAATGTGCACTTGATTGCAGCGAAATGAACCATAATGTATATTTGAATCCTTCAAAATTGTAGAATTGACTCAGATTAATTTGGAATGAATAATAATAATATAATTTTAAAGCCCCTGGTTTGCTTTCTAATGTGGCTTAACATTCCATTTAATCTCTATACAGTATTTCAGAATTTAACTGAATTCAGGATTTCGGTCGCTGATTCTAAATACTTTGTTTCTTTCAAGCTGTAAACTATTTGCTTACTTTTATGGAATTTGCCACTAAGGAAATGGCTTAAAAATATAAAATTCTTATAAGGACTGAAACTACATTTTGTAGTAGTAAAAATATTATAAAAATGGCATCTTCTGTATAGAATATATTTACAGGCATGGATGCAGTTAATAATCTAAAGGCAAGTATGTCTGGCAGAAGTATCAACAGCACAGAACTTTAAAGTATTGTGGAAGGTACTCAATTAAATTTTTATTTATTTATAATACAGTACTCAGCAGTGCTGTTTTTGTTTCCTACAATTTGTATGCATATATGTAAATTTCAGCACATAGTAATGGTTTTTAAGTGGACTGTTTTCCAATCCAGACCTCCTTTGAATTTTTTAATCACAAGAATTCGAGAACATAATAGGGATCAAGTAAGTAAAACATAACATTTTATGGCACCCATTATCTTTTGAATTTAAACCTGCCTACCATACTAATGTCTTGCATCTTCATTGGCAGAAGAACACCATATGCATTTTTCAGTGTTTGACCTTATCAGCTGACTAATTATCTGTCTTCATTTACATAATTAAATAGCCTTAACTGGGTTTACAGATATATGTTACAGTTCCTGGCACTGAGCCCCTAACTAGGCACTTCTCTCTGGAATGTGTTTGACCTTCTGTAGTATTGTTTCCCATTAGGTGGTGGTCACCAATTCTGTGTGTCATTGTTGGTCTTCAGAGTTGCTAGAAAACCGTCAAAGTGTTGTGTAGATGTACACAAAAATGATTACAAATAGATTAAGCACTGTTCCAATTATCCCCAGCAGAGCTAAAATAGATTCCTCTTTCTCCTCGCTCTCTTCTTGCCTTTTTACATCTTCTAAGGTTGTGATGGCAGAGCTCCTCATTTTTTCTGCAAAAATCTTCACCAGTATTCTGACTGCTGGCTAGAAAAGAGGAGAAAGAACAATAACTAACTTAAGGAGGGGGGTGTTTCTTTCACACTTAACCACATTCACATGTACAGGTACTCTTATAGTAAGCTACTTAGGTAGAAAATTGAAAACAATCCTAGTTCATTCCAGCCTCATTTAAATCTAAGGCAGGGAGGATTTGAAAAATTATTTTGTCAGTGTTTCAGCACCTGTACTACTGTGTTGTGAGACAGTACTGTTAACTATTAACATTGATAAAAATGTATCTCTACTAGTAACCAATAAATTAATGTACAAGAATTATCCAGATGTATACATAGCTTATAAAAGAATATATAAATTTAAATTTCCATCATAGAACCATTAGTAATAATATTGGTTTACTTAAGCAGGGTTCATGCCTGTTGATCCTTTCTATTGTACATTTGTATAACAAAGTGAAAATGAAAAAATGCATGCAGTCCGAAAAGAAACAATACATCAATCACAGGGAATTTGAGATAGTATGATAGAATACACTTCATGTCAGAAAGGTTTTGAAGAAGTGCTTCCATGATGTGCAATAGCAGCTATTCAGTACATTATTTTGTTGCACTGAAATAGACCTAATACAAATTCTGCTGCATAGTTCTGCCCATAATCTTAATTAACATGGTATCAAGAATACAAGAAATTTACTCAAGCAGGGACTTAAACATTACTGTTGAAAAATTCCATTTTCATTCTAATCAGAATTTAATGTCAACAGTTGTATTGCTTTACAGCTTTAATATTCCGAAAGACATTTCATGTTACAATGGTCTTATAACGTCTACTGAAGTGCTGGTAACAGTCAAAATTTTAAAGATTAATTTTTACATAAAGATTTTTAAAAGCCTCTCTTACCCTACACTGCATCAGAAATAAAATCTCATCAGACATGCTGCTTACTCCTCACTGCAGTGGAGAAACAGCCTTATCTTCATGGAGGACTGTTCTTTTCACTCAGAGCCAAAATTGTATGCATGCATGAACAGTTCCTTGACACATTGGAGGCAATAATGTTACAAAATCTTCCCAGAAATGCAGGCCGTATTGTGCTTATCCAGTGAAGTGATGTGTTGTTAGAAAAGAAACCTCTGTTTTGCATATCCAGGTTGCTTATTTTTTTTTATCCTTTTTAAATTCTGGATTCTTCCATAGGATGAGACACTTTCTGTGCAAAGAGGAAATACATCATTGTGGCTTCCAGATAAAATCTCCCACTTCTCGTCCTAAATACGTAGCTGGTCCCCAAGACATTCCAGTGCCATGATCGTTCAGCATACTCTCAGATCTTGCTAACTCTCTCAAGATGCTTCTCTTATATTGCTGAGCTGTAAATCCAAATGTGGTATTAAATTAGTCTGTTTACATTTTTAGTCCAGAAGGAACAAAGTTCTCTGTTTACTCTAGGGTTAGGACTGTTGCACACCTGCATTCAAAGCATCAACAAATAATTCCAAGGCATTCTTCAGAGCATTGCATAACTTAGCAGCCAGTCAAATCTGAGGAGTGGAATGACAGTGGCTTCAGTTGTATACCGTAGTGAGTGGTGACATTGATTAAACATGCAGTTGGCACTTGCTGAATAGAGAACAAGCTACAAGTCACCCTTGCAGACAGTGGGTTGCATAACAATATCCAGTGGATCTCCTGTTTCATTGTCAGGCTAGGCACATTTTAATCTAGTAACACTGAAAGTGTGCTGTATAGAATAAAGCAGAGTTAACTGTTTGTTGGCATTTTCTGGCAGGCTGCTTTGTTCCAAGTATTGCTAGTCAAGGTATTTGAACTAAAACAGGATTGATGGGCATATTTTTATCTGAGAACCGTTCTGCTTTTGGTAGGCTATTATTTCTGGATGGAATTTCCTTTTTAAATATCCATTTGTCCCTCTCCTATTCTGTGAAGAATGCAGGTCAGTGTGAACATGATCAAGATAATGCAATTTAGGAAAGATAAATTCCTGATAGTCAGACATGGCAGTGAAATCCTTTTCCAGCTGAATTATAGATCTGTGTTTGTGCAGGTTGGTATACTGATATGTATTATAATTTTTTAGTTAAAAACTGAATGTTTTTAGTTCCTTTTTGTAGACAGCTCATTACTGATTCATTAAAAGATACTTGGAGGGTGCTATCAAGAGACTGTTTTTGTTTGCATGCCGTGTTTGTGCATAGCTTGACTGAGTTACCTAAATGCATTTTCTTGTGAACATTTTTACTGAAGAGATAATGTCCTTTATAAAATTTCACTTCTAAACGCACCAAAAGCATTCAACAGATATATGTAGAATAAAATGTGTTGCTGTATTTGAAGCATAGTACATGATAGGATACATAATAAAATAATACATTCTAGATCTCCAGTACTATTAGCATAATCCTTGATGTGAATCAACATATTTGATGTATTATTGACATTCTTAATGCTTGCTTAGCCTGGCATGAAATAGTGTGATGAGATGTTTCCATGTCTGAAAGCAGCAGGAAAGGTGGTACTGAGACTTGCTTTATGGTTTACATGGTTTTAATTGTGCATATTTCCTGCTGGTATTTAAAACAAAGCTGATGGGGGTTTTATGCATTCCAAGTGCACATGCCGCTTTGGATTTAAAATAGGCTACATTTTAAAAAATTAAATATAATTTAAATGCATGCAAAATATTACTAATAATGCTCAGGTATGTGGGCTTATTTATTTCATTTAAAAGAATTTACATAAATGTTTTTGCTCCCTAATAAATTAGTTAACATCCCCATCTGCAATATTAACTGGGTTTACAGTAGCACACAGATCTCTAGGTGCTGATATGACGAATGCTCTGACATGAATATTCTAGACCTCTATTTTGGAATGTTATCCTTATTACTGATTCTTAAATGACTTGGTAAATTTTTCTACTTCTGAATTGTTTGATTGTTTTCTATTCTTAAGCAGTCTGTGATGTTCATTTTTTTAATACAAGAACTGCTAAACTCAGCAGCAGCCTGTAGTATTTTGAATAAATTGTGTGGTACGCATATTACTTACAGTCAGGTTAAAAAGCTATACAATAGGCTTATTATTTCTGTATTTCACATTTACTTTAAGAGCACATGATATCATTGTATATGTGTTTTCTATTTTAAATTTCTTCTATGAAACATAACCTATTTCAATATCTTACTCCCTCCCCTTTTCTTAAAATATAAACAACAACATGTGTCCTTCCAAGTTCCTAAATGAGAATCTTTAAACATCTTTAAATTAGCAGTATGGTTATTGTTGCTTAAAAGTGAAATTGTATAACATACAAAAGCAACATCTTTATGGATTAGTGAATGATAATAAACATGGTCATTTCATTTAACTCGGGTTAGAGGTGACAGAGGTTTGAGGTTATGTTTCATGCAATGGAATGGTGAAAGCCAAACATACAAATTGCCTATGAAACAAAACAACCACTGAAGTAACACTTAGCAGCTCCAGCTAACAGATAATAACTATTATTTTGAAGTAGGCAGAAACACACTACACTCTGTTAGAGCTAAGTTATCCTGTTAAATTTAACATACTGTGTTTGTTTTTTAAAGGAAATTCCTCAGGCCATTGTTTTACATCATAGAATCAAGTAGGCCCATTGAACAAGTGGGGATTTAATGATTCAATTCCTCTATAAATTCTATTGATTCAAACAGGCATACGCTAGCTATGACGTATCTTAGCACTGTGTGTGTGTGTGTGTGTGTGTGTGTTTGTGTTTGTGTGTATTCATGTACTCACACTTACAATATGCTAAAGCAAGTCACAGCTAGAGGATGCCTGCTTGAATCAATGGAATGTATGGAGGAATACCCACGGATTCACAGGGACTCCTCTAGTGCAATTTACAAATCCTAAGCAACAGGATTTAAGATAACGTGTTTAGAAATGTTACTATGGGTAACTTTGTCAAAATACTAATTTTACAAAATAATCTCTTTTTTTGCTTTACTTTTGTCAGTCAACTGACCATTCTTATTGTGGTGTTTGTCCTATAATTCATTAGATTTAAAGGAGTTGCTTTGGACACTGCTATAAAATACAGTTTTGCTAAAGGATGCAAACCACAGATAACCTCAGGCTTTCAGGTTCCCCTTGGTCTGCTTCTCATTTTTCATTAGTCGAAGTACCATCTGAATCCTAAATTGCAATTGAACTGCACTTTAGTTAGACAGAACAAACCAGATTTGTAGCGCATTGTTTAAAATTGGATTATTTCAAACAAATTGTGGTTAAGATTAAATATCTTTTATTGAACTTGGGTGAAACAACAAGCTGCACTAATCAAAACAGAAGTAATCTGCTCATGATTTGGTCAAACTGAGTTGGAAGCATGAGGTTTGCTGTTCCGGCCCATTCATGTCATGCTAGACCTCCAGACCCCTTTGTTTTTAAATGTTCCTAAAGGGTATAACTCTAGTGTTGCAGACGTATAGTGATGTGAATGATATATACTTTTCAACAGAAAAAGCTATTTGTTTATCTTTGTTCTTGTCTGAAGTCGGAAATTTCCACATCCTTTGCCAGTATTCTGGAAAGCATATATAACTGAGCAAAAATATTTTATTGAATGCTTGAAATGGATTCACAGTGTAAATTGTATATTTTATAATACTTTAATCAAAGATTAAAGTGTTCTGTGCAAGCACTTCACATTCTGCTGAATCTGAAGGATGCTGCTACTCAAATCCTGTTGCTTAGTATAGTAGGCTGCACTACAGTAGGCCCATTCATTCTTGGTGAATGAATCAGGGGGATTTGGTGACTCAACTTTTCCATAAGGTCCATTTGATTCAGTGTGCCTACAGTGGGGTCTCTACTTAAGAACTTAATCCGTATTGAAAGGTGGTTCTCAAGTTGAAAAGTTCTTATGTTGAATCTGCATTTCCCATAGGAATGCATTGAAAACCATTTAATCCGTATCTGCTCTTTTCTGTCCATAGAAACTACAGTGGAACCTCTACTTAAGAACTTAATCCGTTTTGGAATGGTGTTCTTAAATTGAAACGTTCTTAAGTTGAAGCAAAATTTCCCATAGGAATGGACTGAAAACCAATTAATCCGTTCTGGCTGTTTTTTTTGTTATGTAGAGGTGCGTTCGTACATTGAAGCATTAGTTCCCATAGGAACTAATGCAAAGCTGGTTAATACGTACTCTACCACTAGCGGGAGAATTTGTTTTTAACCTAAGATGACCTAAGGTTAAAAAAAGAGCAGGAAAGGTTTTTTTTCCTGTTCTTATCTTGGATTTCCGTTCTCAAGTAGAAGCAAAATTTAGCAAATGGAGCTGTTCTTAAGTTGGATTGTTCTTAAGTAGAGACGTTCTTAAGTAGAGACCCCACTGTACTTTAATTGCAACTTACTACACAAAACTTTATAAATATCTCAGGATCATTGAGAAGAATTGTTCTGATTGCATCTTAGTGTCCAACAACTAAACAGATGCAGAAATGACTGTATATTACAGTTTCATTGTCCATTTGATTCTTATTTATTTATTTATTTATTTATTTATTACATTTATACCCCACCCCTCTAGATCATGTCTACTCGGGGCGGCTTACAACATAAAATAAATCAATATAAGATATATATAATCATTAAAATACAATTACTATATTAATTAAGACAATTAATTTAAGAAAAGGATTACCAAGATGGGGTAGTAAATTGCAATTAGAGTAGGCCCACTGAATCAAATGGACCTAATGGAAGAGTTGAGTAACCAAGTCCCGCTGATTCATTCACCAAGAATAAATGGGCCTACTCTAGTGCAGCTTACTACACTAAGCAACATGATTTGAGCAGCAGTGTCCTTCACATTCAGCAGAATGCGAAATGCTTCCACAAAACACTTTAATCTCTGATTAAAGTATTATGAAATAGGTGCAAAATAAATATACAATTTAAACTGTGAATCCGTTCCAAGCATTTATTAAAATATTTTTGCTCAGTTATATATGGTTTCTAGAATAAATTAGAAAAACAAGAAGAAAATTATGGTATTAATATCTCAGGACTCCCCCTTTATCCTAATTCAGTTGTGGTCTTCTTCCTCTAAAAAAGAATTTCAAGACTCTCTGGTCAGTCTTTTTTAGGTGGTCCTTTTTCTCTGTAGCTAAGACTGTTTAAATGCTCACTTTCCAGTTTGTTCCTACCAACAATGTGAACTTCAAAGCATCCTTTAAAATTAACCAGTCCCAGATTTTTGTGTTATAACTAAAGCATTTTCTGAATTAGAAGTACTGTTGAAGTAGTTATACAGTAAAAACAGAGGGGGAGTTATAAAAAGAGGGGAAAGTAAGGTGATGATTGTACATAATCCAAAGGCAAGGGTGAGTGATATCTCTATTAGATCACTTAAAATCATTTATGGCCCCATACAGGTCTTCATCAAGCAAGGTATGACAAAAAATAACTCACAAAAGTTTCAAAAATCACTCACAAAAGTTTCAAAAATCACAGCTAGATGTGTCTGCCACATCTCTGTGTTAAAAATAAGTTTCTAATTGGGAGCTGCAGACCGAAGTCCAATGCAGTGGTTTCAGATTCCACCTCTAGAATCTAGCTTGTACTTGTAATTTTTAAAATAAAAGGTTAGATATCTAAAGTACATTGGCCAGAATTTATCTTGTACTTGTGTAATATAAATGAACAATCATACAACCAGAATGCTCTTATTGTCCTTTGCAAACCTGGGCATCCCCAGTTGCACATTCAGTCATGTTACAGCCAGCTGGGAAATACTGAAAACCAAATGTTTTTCACAAAGGGATGCAGGCTCAGACACTGTGCAAACTGATAATTACATTGTAATACAATCACTGAAATCCTGTTGTACTAGACATAGCATAAGGTTACATCTGCAGCATTCACAGGGAATTATATGCCAACATTCACATTGCATGCCTGATTATGCACGGGATTGTACAGTTCCTGTGCAGCTAGTTATGCAGCCTGCTTATGGAACTACCTATTGGATATGACTTTCTCCTTG